CTCTCAGATGTCGAAGAATATTAGTTTCTCAAAAAACGTGTAATTCATATGTGAGATCCTTCTGCTACTCACTTTCTATATGCCGTTGTATTCATTGCTGTTGCAGAACTTTTATTCTGTAGATACGTTCCGAAACATGTAGCCTCCATCCACAATTTCTTTTACATTTCAGTCGTACAGGAATGCTCGTGTTTTATTCAGTAACGTTCGATTCAGCCTTTCCATTCAGTTGAGGTGTATACAGTGTCGTATAATCTAGTATAATTACTTTCTGTCTTCACCAATTCTTGAATTTCCGACTGGTAAATCCTCCTGCTTCCATTATCTCATCTAAATCTGTATGTTATTCCACTTTGCTCCTACTGCTGTAACATACTTATACAATTTTTGTCATGCATCAGTATTTGATTGCATAAGATAAATCTTCACAAAATTAGTAAAATCTATGATTGTCATCGCATACCTATTTCTGTTCTGTGTCTCTGGTTTTATAGGCCTACACATATATCAGAATGTTCAATTTCTATCTGCCTTTTTGCCCTTGTTCTTGGCTCTCAAAATGGTGTCTTCAATTGCTCTGCATAGAAAAAGTATCCTGCATTCTCCATTTCCTACCTTTAGTACTCTTTTTGTTAATTTCATTGTTGATGCTTTCTTGGATAACTGTTTCATGTTCCCTATGCATTGTTGGTCCAATTTTCGGTGCTAGTCTACCAGCTCCTCGTTTCTCTTTACAAATATAAAGTCCATTATTACAGCTCTTACCAACAAATATTTTTCCTTCATTCTTATAAACTATTACTTTATTTTCTTTGGACATTACCTCACTACCATCTCGAGCTATCAAATTTATTGACAATAAATTCTGCCTCAAGTGTAGAATATACAAACCATATTCAGGTATACAACTACCTGATGTGACTCCAAATTTCACTTTAATTTCCATGGAAATATTTCTCTATGCTGATCCAATTTCCATTCTTATTTCTTCTTATTTTTTAAAATATTCTAGTTTATTAACCATATGGTTGATTGGTCTGAAGTCCAGAATCCATTAGTATGTTCCATCGCTCTTTGCCAAGAAGCAGACTTTCTTTTATTATTTTGACGTCTTTTTCTTTCCATCATGCTTTTAAAATAACAATCTAAATGATTTTTTCCAAATAATTAGACTTCTCACACATGCCATACAGAGAGTACATTTCTTAAGTCTTGTCTTTTCTTCCTAATCCTAGAAATTTTTCTGATTTTTATCCCTATTTTTCAAAACTGAAGCATTTTATTTCTTTATTACCTTTATTGTTTCTCTAATATGCAAGTGCAAGATGTCTAGTGGAGTTGTGCTTCAAACACCTCTTCTTCTGAGCTTTGAAAACTACAGATTCATTTTGATCTACTTTTCCACTGGCTTGCTTGGCAATCTGTTGAAATGTGAAATTATCTATTCTTTTCTCTTCTTTCCACATTAACTTTCAGATACTTGCAAATAGACGATACCTGTGTGAAAATGTAGTTAAGATTTTAGTTATAAACATTGTTTATTCTATCTTATGTCTTAATTCAAGTGATTTGAAAACTTACCTGTTAGCCCTGCAATGTGGACTACTATATCATGTACAAATTTAGATTTATTCATGAAAAATTCCTCTGTAACAGAACATCTTTGCTGTTCTGTATCCTTGTAATATATATTGCTTAATTGTACTCATATCTCATGACTTGACGTGCAGGTTGGTACATCAATTAATAATACGTCTTCTACAGTTGAAAGTATCTGATTTTGTATTTACTCATTGTTTGTTAACTAATCTTGTTTGTATTTTTCTACATTTTTTGGTACTTTCATTATCTATTTATACAAACCTTGAAACCACAGCATGAAGAAGACTTGAAATTTTCATGATATCCATCTCCATCCTTTCATCCATTGATATTTCTAATTTCCTTCTCGATTCTTGTTCCCCGCGCTCAAACATGTCGCCTGCACTCGCGGTCCATAACCTGTTGATTTATTTTTTTACCTAAAACATGCACAACTCACAATTATAATTATGCACATTGATAAACTCAGGTTACTTTTATCTAATTTGTAACACAACGATGAGCCACCTAACATTGTTACTTTTTATATTATACTTGAGTTTAGCCAAACATCATGTCTTCTTAGAGAAACTCACGTTTATCGACAACCAAGGGTGACAAAACAATTTCTTTTACGAATTCATCATCAGGGAAGCAAACTCTACGACCATAACCCAATGAATATTAGAGAAAAAAGGTTGAAATTTGTTGGACAGTGTAATCGTTCGTGTTCTGCAATGTCTAAGCAACATTCTCGAGTTATTTTCCTGCACAGTGCTCAAAGAACAACGGGAAAGGAATGCAGTCGCGAATAGCCAGGTGCATCCCTCCGGAGAACGAATCGTTTTACAGCTGCGACGGGCCAACCGTGAAGACGGAAATACGTTCGTGCACCGGTCACGTGACAAGGGCTATCGAATTTCCATCCCGTTGCTGGCGAGACAAAAATCAGTTCTGCTCTATACCAAGTCTGAAAGGCTATTGTAGCGTGCTAGCGTTTAGGCGAAGATGCTGTCGTTCTTGCGAAAGGAACGAGGCCTCGAGTTTGGCCAGCTCCTTCCACCGAAAACGCCGCATGCTAAGGATTTAGATCAATATTCAAACACCTTGAAACAGTTCGGGAGGCTTCGCGTGGTTCGTTGTGAATTTGCTCGTGATAAATTTTACGGGAAAAGAGAATAAAGGAAATGAAGAAGTGGGAAAATCAAGAATATGTTTATCGTTTAAAAATTGTAGGAGATTTTGAGAAATGAAAATCAAGTAAAATTGAGCGTTTTGCGACGATTGCAGGTATGAAATTGGGATTTTGATTCTACAGAGTGATATTCTGATGACGGTAGATCGTGATTCGGAAAGGAAAATGAGAAGAGAATTTTATACGATGTCGAAACGTTTTGTTCTAATATTGTTTAATAATTATGTATCAGCTCTTTACGCTCAAAGAATTTCTTGATTTTATATTTCTTTGTACAATGTTTGTAATTGGATGTTTTCCTTTTTTGAAAATAAGAAAAATAATTTTTTGTTTTTAAAGTGAGCTTATTTATATAGTAGGTTCCATTGTTTTGTTATTTTTATTGATAAAGGTATACTTGAACAACAGATTGTAAATTATTAATGCCACCATTGTGGTATTAATGCAGTAAAAAATTTAACTTGACTACTTGTAAAAGGAAAAATTTGGTTATAGTTTCTAACTATACTTGTATTTTAAGATGTCCTCGAGATTATTTGCGGAATTTGCTGTTTCAATATTAATATTTAGTTATATGTAATTTTACATATAACTAAGTTGTCAGGATATTAAAATAAGAAGAAAATTTGTGGACTATTTTAATATTTATCCGTTTATTTAATAATTCAATTTAATGAACAATTTAAACTATAAGTCTAAGGTAATATTACAAGGTATGAATGGTTTCTCATTGAACTTGTATAATTTAAAAATATAAATAACGTAAGTCGTCGTTGTTTGAGACATTTATTTTTAAATTATATTATATTCAAAGTGCAATTTTTAATGTAGTTATAAAAATTATGTATACAAACGGAAGAATTGTAAATATACTTATAAAATTGAAAGACATGTGTGCACTAGAATTTCTATTAAATTATAAATTTTGTATATTAATTATATTAATATATTATTATCGTCACTTGAAAATATCACTTTTAAATTGTCAAATAAAAATAAAATGTTCACAAAAAAGGAAATTGTAATTTTATTCACCTAAACAATAGCGTCTATTGATTATATAAATTAATTATTTTAATAAAAAAAAATTCTTATTTCTCAGAAAATGAAAATTCAAATTTGCAAGTTAGAAATGACAAAGTAAAGTGTGATGAAATAACTTGAAACAGCACGATTTCAAAGAAACACGAGATAGGATGAATTATTTTATTCAAAAGATTACAGTCTCGGTAACAGACTAAGGTTTATTTAAATTTCGAGTATACAATACACAGTGACATTATCATTAGTGCGAATTAAAAGTCTAACGAAACGAATTCAAATCAAGTGGGACGATTAACACTGTAGAATAAATACCGAAGGGAAAATGGTAATATGGAACCTTGCTGGTAACTTTCACATTGATATTCTCGATTATCTGTTTAAAGAAATTACTCCTGGCTGAGGCAAATTCATATTCCTCGTGACTGACCTATTATATAAATTTCTACCAAAGCACAGTTACTCAAATTTCCAACATCATCGATCAATTTCAATATTCTTTTAATATTATTAAAAATAATTGTCAATTAAATAATATTTCATATTACTTAAATTCCCAATCTTTTCATATACTTTCATAATATTTTCAATATTACAAAAAGTATTTCCCTTAATACCATAAAACTGATCTCAGCCTGATTTTGCATAAAATATAATCGCAAAAACTTCAATAAAAATATGACATATCATATACATTGAAATAATTCGTAACATAGACATAACACACGTATTTTGTCCTTTTAAATCGACTTTTCACTAATTTAATCGTAACGATATATACGATACATTCGAAGACCTTCATCTTGAATTTTATCCCGATTTTTATCTCGATTTTCTCTATTCGAATCGTGAACATTCTTCTAATCGTTAGGCTCAACGAAGGATTGTCATGAAACGGCGATCGTAACAGAACATAATCGAGGTACGACATTCCATATTATCATGTTCTCTTCCACATCATGTCACAGGAAACTTCTACGACTCGTTCCTCAGTGGAGGATCGCGACCGAGGACTCGGAAGATTCGACTCGATCGAAGAAATTCGCGTGTAATTTTCGCACTGCTTTATGACTTTTTCTTCAATACTCGCCTCCTCCGATTCACGCCTGAGATATCGTGGCTGCTCAAATCAGCGCAGATATGTACGTAACTGAAGATATGTACGTAAACGAGTGTGAGATGTTGCGGATTTATACACGTTAATTTCATTGTTTCACAGAGTTCATGAACGGCTTGAAAATACCATTTTTTATTTATCTCCACCCTGTTGAACACTGATTAACTTTATGAACGATGTGCAGATTTTTAAGATTAAGATTAAGAGTAATTTAGTTTGGAGTCGAAATAAATTATTTATGATAAAATTGTGTCTTATGGGAATAAGGATATTTTTCCGATAAGAAAATTTATGGAATAAATATTTATATAATTAAATAATTTTTATAGAAAGTAATTTTATAATTATATTATAAAATATAAAATTCATAAGATTATAAAGTTTTTTATAATGAATATTGCAATATTGTCACGAGTTTGTCAATTTCTCAATATTCGATTTTTGTTTCTTTGAAATTGAGGAAAAATGCATCGATATTGTTATTTTTATAATTTAAATATGAAAACGTAGGTACGTCGATAAAATTTTCCTTTCCTACATGAACTCTAAAAACTAATTTAATTCGCGTCTATAATTCTGCAGCATCTTGAAAATTGTACACGGGTACTCGATTGGGAATAGAAGTTTCGTCGATGTACAAGTGCTTCTAATCTACCTATGTGTTACAATAATATTAAGATATTTTCTGTAAAAGTAAATAAGAAACGTGGAATATAAAATAAACAGAATACAAAATAATTCGTCAAAATTTAGTCGTAGCATGAATGGATTCCCAAAATTTCATTTCATCCACAGAATATTCCCAATGTAATTATTAAAGAAACCCAAATTTAAATTACTATTACTCCAAATATAACAAAATAAATGGAAAAAATTCTTAAGCATGACCATACATTATGGCCAATCATGAACACTCTTATAAATCGAAATAATACAAAAAATACTAAAAAATTAATAAATTGTATAATTAAATAAAAATGGAAACAGAAAAGAAATTTAATCAAACATCTGAAACGACTGAAAATAATGAATAAACGAACGGGCTTAGAAACTACATGCATTTTCTATGAACATCGACAATCGATAAACCCGTGTACAATGATCGATAGATTAACTGAAACGATTATTAGTCGCAACTGTTTGGATTAATACCCTCACTACGTACTCGGTTACCTCTTCTCGTTCTACTGAGTTACAATAGTAATAAGTATTGTCTGTTTTCTTCCAACTGGATCCACATTGACTCTCGTTTATTTATCATTTAATTTAATTCAATTTTTAAATCTCTAGGCTTATAGATGTAGGCTGTGGTGTACGTCATGGCGAAACGTTCTCTCAAACGGAGTCTCGTACACACGTGTGACATCGGCGAAAATCCTTTAGTTACGATTAATTCATACAGGGACTAACCACGACTCGTTTCTTCATCTCCTCGTGTAATTTACGTCTGTGCATCTTAACACGTGCGCGATTAATTATGCCGTTGATTACCTTATACGATTACATTTTCCTTGTACGATACCGTAGCTATGTATACGTATGTATATAGATATATCTTCTATACATTATGTAATTCATTTATATGTATATGTATATGTATATGTATATGTATATGTATATATATATATATATATATAACTCTGGGTACAAATAATGTTTACAAAAATATTAATTTGGGAAGGCAAACTTTCAATTATAAATCGCTTACTCTTGGATACTCACGAATGTAACAATAACACGGCTGATTTATCTACAAACACAGAAGGAAACGTCTTCCTCGAATTCAAATCAACGCTCAGTTTGAATCACCAATATTCGTTAATGAAAATCTCTCGATTTGGGACAATGTTCACGAAACACGTACGCGTATCATCGTCGCGAGCAAGAACTCGAAGTAGGACCAAAACGCCATGTTCGCTGCGTCGCCAAGTCTCTCTTTGGTTCGTTTTCTTCGGGATATCCCTTCGGCATGTACGATGTCGAGTTCTTAGCACGTGTCGCTGGCGTGCTAAATGCTAAATGACTTCTCGGCGTGTGATGATGAACGATGGCCACCGTTAGCGAACGTCCGATCCAAATCCATCGCTCACCGTGAGTACGTCTCGTTCGTGTACGTGTCACGGAAAATGACGTGTAACCGAAAGTAACGGGGGTTCAACAGAATCTTTCGGTTTAATATCGTGTACTCGTAACCCAGTAATCTTGCGTACACGGTTTCTAGTCGTACAAATACAACCACGAAGCATAAGCGTCGCTTCTTCGAATGCTTCTTCATCGAGCGGCAATCGATGTCTGCGTTTATGTTCTTCAATCATTTTTTCATTTTTTCTTTTTTTTTTTCTTCTCTAATTACATTAATCGTTTTTAAAGACGATTTCCATTTTGCAAACAGAAAACACACAATCGACAAGAACACTATCCAAAACGGTCTAAAATTTCAACGCTACTTTAATAAAAGTCACGCGATGCCAATACATTATTTCTCTCTGATCTCCACAAACGAACTGTGACACGTAATTACTACCTCTCATCCACAGAATTGGAACATTCGCAACGAAACGATGCAACACGATTGCCACTCGATCGATTAAACGGTTAACACGAAAAACTTCGTTCGTTGCTGGTGAAACCAGTAGTCCTCTCATAGGGCTTGTTTACGATTAAGAGAAATAGGCTCGACGGAAACTCTTCGTTTCGACCTGTCGATTACATTCGGAACATGCCTCGTTCTTGTTCATCTGCGTTTGGAAGAGGCTGCACGTTATTTATACATGGACTCCATTGCACTAACAGAACGTTGAAACAGAGCGTGAATGTTCCAGGTCGTATAGTGTTCGTTTTCAACTCCGATGCCTCGCAACGTCCGCCTGACGCACTCGTTTCCTCGTCGACATTGTATAATAAATTACTAGACGTTATTATACACTACATACATCTTAATCAAGCCTTACGTATAATTTTCATTTCCATTTTTTTCATTTTTTTTTTTTTTTTTCGTTTTTTTTT